ATATATATATATATTTTTTTTTCATGAAAGAGAAAAACAGGCATCGTTGACAGGGTCTCTGCACATTGAGTCCCATTCCCCTAGTCCTCCAGCTAGTCAGAATCTTGTGTGCACAGACATCTGGTGTGTTTCAAGTTAACTTTAGATCTGAGCCTGTGGTTGGCCACGTCTTTTTTTTTTTTTTTAAGATTTATTTTATTTATTCGTTCATTTATTTTAATTTGACCAGACACAAACACACATACACAGAAAAAGAGAGAGAAAGAGAGATAGAGAAAGTGAGAAAGCAAGCTACCAGGTCCAGGACTTGAACCATGATCAGCCATGTGGGAGTGTCCAGCACCTTAACCACCATGCCACCTGCTGGTCTCCTGGCCATATGTCTGCTAATACTGCAGATCAGTATGCTATCACCTGCAATAATACAACTAGGCCATCTCCCTTGTTATAATAATTTTAAGTTATTTTATTTAGCCTTTAGTATTTTTTGCAACAAACATACCTAAGTATTCTTACATCTCATTCTTTCAGTAAAAAAGGTAGTTGCTATGTATGTTACTTCATACTTTGACCTTTTCATTTGCCCTGGGGATTTCTTACTAGTGATTAGAATTTTTTCCTCTTCTTAAACAATTCTGTTCAACTTCTTGTTGAAATGCTTATCCCCAAACTTTTAATTTCAGGGATATCCTTCAGTTCTTATTCAGTTTTGTTTGGTTATTTGAATAGATAACATATGTTAGCACTAGAGATACAAAATGAAATATCACAGGTTCTGTTTGTGGAGTCCAAAGTCCAGGAGTTGGAGAGCAGTGAATAAGTAAGTAAGTAAGTGAAGCGATAAGTGACAGAGGTAAACAAGGAAGTATTCCTGGATCAAAGAAGAGATGTAACCATTCTACTGAAGTATGGAGGAGGGATCAGATGACTTCCCAGAATAGGTGATTTCATAGCTGAATTCTTCCTAAGGAAGTATGTAGGAGTAAGTCACCCCGGTTAGTGGGAAAAATAGCAGTTTCGGGGGAGGAGGGCGGGAAGCATTTGATTAAGGGTGGAAGAGAGGAAGGGTCCCACTGCTTGTGTATTCCAGTGAATTTTAAGCATTTGACAGTACTCCAAGACAGTAAACTGATCAGACTTTGTCTCCATATATTTTTGTAACATGCAGGTTTATACTTCATGAACTGTCTTATTTGGATATCCAGTTATTTTGGTTAATGTTCTTTCTTAACAGGTACTGATTCTTCCTATTATCACGCAATATTGGAAGCTGCATTTCAGTTTCTGTCTCCTCTGCAGCAGAATTTGTTGAAATTTTGTCTGTCTCTTCGTTCCTACTCGGCCACAATTCAAGCTTTCCAGCAGGTGAGTCCAGTGCTTCTAGAGAATACCATCTTCTAGGCATGTGACACGATGACCTGACAGATTGCAGCTGTCCTGGAACTGGATTACAGGGCTATCCCATTTTTTCCCATAACTTTCTAGGATTTTTGATTTGTTTTTAAATGATAAGCAAAGCTGAAGTTACGTCTAAAGATCACAGAGGTTTTTTTTTTTTTTTTTTTTTTTTTTTTTTATTGCCGATGTGTGTGCTTGTGAGATTGAAAGCACTCCCCACCAGGGCATGGTAATGTGCAGTCCTGTCTCCGTGTCTCCGTCCCATCAGGGTTTTGGGCATGTATGCATATGTACCCAGGATGTTTTCAAGTCACTGGGAATGGGGTTTAAACTGTGGTTTGTATGTGGGATCTGGCTTCCTATGCACAGCATTTAATAGCTGGGTTACGGAGCTGACTGTAAATCCTGGATTTTTAAAAATACAAATTGTATTTATTTTCACATAAAGAAAAAAACCCACGTATATAAAAATGAGATAACATGGGACCAGCAGGTGATATGGTGGTTGAGGCGCTAGATTCCCACATGGCCAACCACAGTTTGAGTCCTGAACCTGGCAGCTTGCTTTCTTGCTTTCACTGTCTCTCTCTCTTTCTTTCTCTGGAGAGCACCTGTGCACTATAGCAAAATTAAAAAAAAAAAAAAAAAAAATCATTAAATTTTTTTTTTTTAAGAGAGATTTTTGCTATAGGCCATGTATGCTCGTTGGAGAGACAGAGAGAGAGAAAGTAAGAAATCACTGCTCGGGGGCAATGGCCGTGCTGCAATCCCTTCTCTATTCTCCTCTTGGGATTTTGGGCATGGCACATACACACCCCTGTGTGAGTTTTAAGCAACCGGGTCCGGAACTCGAACCATCGTCTACTATGTGGGAGTCCAATGATGTAACCATTACACCATCTGCTGGTCCCAGTTATTATTAATTTTAAATGAGAAGTTCTTGCCTTAGGGCATGTATGCTTGCTGGAGAGAGAGAGAGACACAGAGATAGTGAGAGGGAAAGTGAGAAATCACCCCCAGAGGGGATGGTCATCTATAATCTCTTTTGCACCATTCTCCTCCTGGGGCCTTGGGCATGCATACACACATGCCCAGCATGATTTCAAACCACTGGGTCCAGGACTCCAACCATAGTTGGCCGTGAGGGAGTCCAGTGATATAACTGCTATGCCATCTGCTAGCCCTAAATAAATAATTCTTTAAAAAAGAGACAATCGGGACAAGCAGGTGGTGTGGTGGTGAAGGTGCCAGACACTCCCACATGGCCGACCATCAAAGATGTATATATAGATCAAATGTTTAATATAAAAGGAATGTTAATTTTTGAGTAATTTTCTACTATAAATCAAAATAGATAGAGAAGACCCCTCAGATAGATATCGTAATGAATTATAAAGTAAGCACCCGTAGGCTAGCTGTGTGCAGAGGTGATTAAGGTGCTGGAGCTCACATGGCTGATCGCACAGCTTGAGTCTTAGACCTGGTGGCTTGACAAACATGCTGGCACATGTGCATGCATGCATGTCCAAAATCCCAGAGGAGACCAGACGAATAAGGACTGTGGCATGGTCATCTCCTCTTGTGGGGTACTTTCTCACTTTCTCTCTCTCTCTCTAACTTTTCCCAGCTTTTAAAAATGTATAATTTGGGCCTAGCAGCAGCTTGGTGGTTAAGGCAGCTGGATCCCACATGGCTGTCTGCATGGTTCAAGTCTGGACCTGGTGCCTTAAAAACATTCCAGTCATATGTGTGTGCATGCCACGGATTTCTACAGGAGAATGGAGGATAAGGGATTGTGGAGTGGCCATGCCCCATGAGGGGTGCTTTCTCACTTTCCCTGTCTTTCTCTTTCTTTCTCTCTCTGGCGAGCACACATGCCCTATAGCAAATGAAAAAAAAAATTGGTAATTTTATGGGGTGGGTGTCTTTTACTCTACAGGGTTTTCCTTTATCCTTCCTTGTTCCGTTGTGTTACTTGAAGTGTTTGCACTGTAGCTTTTTTTCACCGTCCATATTTTGCTTGTCACGTATTCATGAAGCAGTTCAACTTACTCCTTTGTCCTTTGTTTCTGGACCCAGAGGCTTGATGAGAATCAGGTTCCTCCCTTTCTCAAGTCTGTAGGCAGCATTCTTCTTGTCTTCATTAGAAGGTACTGATGTCTGGTTTCTTCTCTCTTTTTTTTTTTTTTGAGTTAGCAGCCATTACTGTGCTATGCTTAAATCCATTAGTTCTTTGAGAGTTGTAAAGTGACTCATTCTGTCATTTCTTTTTCATTTACTTCTGGGGCATGGATATAAAGAGGTATATACCCTTATCTGGTATTATTTGAGATTGTTCACATAGCGAAGGCAGAACAAGTATTTGATTCTCTATCTTTATTAACCACATTTCTGAGTGAGTTTGATTTTCTAGCATCCTTTTCCATTGATTATTTAGGTTTTAAAAATTTTTGTTGTTGGTATTGTAGGAAATACACATAACATAAAATTTACCATCTTAACCATTTTTAAATGTGTGGTTTAGTGGATTTTTTTTTTTTTTTTTTTTTTTTTTTTTGCTAGAAAAAAAAAGGGGAAAAGGGGGAAGGTACCCTCCTGTTCCCCAGTGGAATGTGGTTATGCTACAGTCTCTTCTTTTCTCCATCTTGTCAGGATTTGGGGCATGTTTGCACATTTACCTGGCATGTTTCTCAAGTCACCAGGGCTGGGATTTGAACTGTGTGGTTGACCATATGGGATCTGGCTTCTTTAACCATTAGGCCTCAGGGGCAGTCCACAGTTCAGTGGTATTAAGTGCATCATATTGCTATGTATTTTTTTTTTTTTCGCCATAGGGTTCATGTGCTTGCCCGAGAGAGAGAAAGAGAGAGAGAGAGAGAGAGAGAGAGAGAGAGAAACAGAGGGAAAGTGAGAAATAACCCCTTAGGGGATGGTCATGCTGCAATTCCTCCTTTTCCGTTCTCCTCCTGAAATCTTGGGCACACAAATTTGCCAGGTATCATTTTCAGCCATTCGGTCTAGGACTTGAACCAACATCAGCCGTATGGGAGTTCAGTGGCATAAACACTATGCCATCTGCTGGCCCGTGGTATGATTATTACCATCATCCATCTTCAGAACTCTTTTCATCTATCAAAAATGACCCTCTGTACCTTAAAAATAATAATTTCACATTATCTGTCTTTTCTTCTCCTCTTACCTCTAGCAATCAGTATTTTCCTTTCTACCTGAATTTGGTCACTCTAGGTACTTCATATAAGTGAAATCTTACAACTTTTGTCCTTTTATGTCTGGCTTATTTTACAGAGCATTGTTTAAAGATTCATTCATATATAGAAAGTATCAATTCATTCCTTTTTATGGTTGAACAATATTCCATTGTGTGGACATACCACATTTTATTTGCTCATTCCAGTGGATGCTTGATTTGCCGCTACCCTTCACTGATTTCACTTCTTTTGGGTATGTACATAGATGTGTATTTCCTGGATCATATGGCAACTCTGTATTTAACATTTGTAAGAATGCCAAACTATTTTCTATTGTGATTGCACTATTTTATATTCTCACCCATAATACATGAGGTTCTAATTTTTCTACATCTTCCCCAGCACTTATTTTCTGACTTTTTAAAAGCTTAGTATTTATTTTGAGAGAGAGAGAAGAAGGATAGAAAGAGAGGTGCATACCCAATAGGGTCTTTATATGATCCGCATCCAACCTCAGCCAGGATCAGTCAGCCAGGAGCAGACACATGCATACTTAGTATGCACAAAGAGACTTTAGGATGTGATTCAGAACCTTCCATATGGCTTCAGCATTACAGTGTTGCATTACCATTGTGCTATTGTGGCTGGTCAATTTTCTGATCTCTTAGTGATGGCCATTCTTCTTTTTTAGGTTATTAATTTAATTATTATTATTTATTTAATTTTTTTAGAGGTTTTTGCTATAGGGCGCGTGCAATCACCAGACAGAGACAGAGACAGAGAGACAGAAAGCAAGAAATCTCCCCCCAGGGGGGATGGCCCACACCGCAATCCCTTCTCCTCCATTCTCCTCTCAGGATCTTGGGCACGCACGCACACGCGCCTGGTGTGAGTTTTAAGCCACCGGGTCTGGGATGGGAACCGTGGTCAACTACATGGGAGTCCAGCGACATAGCCATTATGCTAACTGCTGGTCCTTTATTATTATTATTTTAATTTTGCTCTGGGGCACGTGCACTCATCAGAGAGGGTGAAAAAGAGAGAAAATGAGAAGCAAGCCAACAGGTCTAGGACTTGAACTATGGTCAGCCATGTGTGAGTCCAGTGCCTCAATCACCACGCCACCTGCTTTTTCTCAGTCATGACTATTCTGATGTCTGAAGTGATATCTTATGGCTTTGATTTGCATTTCCTTAGTGACTAATGATGTGGAACATCTTTTCCTGTGTCTAGTAGCCATCTATATATCTTCTGAAGAAATGTCTATTCAAATCCTTTTCCCATTTTTGAATTGACCTATTAGATTTTTGTTAAGTGATAAAGAGTTCTTTGGAGCCGGCAGATGGCATGGTGGTTAAGGGGGCTGGACTCCTACATGGCTGACTCTGGTTCAAGTCTCAGACCTGGTGGCTTGCTCTCTCACTTTCCTTCTCTCTGTCTTTCTCTGGTCAGATTAAAAAATAATAATGAATAAAGCTGAAAAGTAATTCTTAAAAAAAAAAGAAAGTTCTTCATATATTCTAGATATTAATCCCTTATCAGATAAATGATATGCACATATTTTCCCATTCTCTATATTGATAACATCCATTGATGCATAAAACTTGTAAACTCTGGCTTATCTGTTTTTTTTTTTTTTTTTTTTTT